TCATTGCTACTCGATTTTCTTCTCCTAACACAGAGAGAACCCACTAAAAACTGTGGAAGAGATTCCAAATTTCAATCTTTAAAACCCTAAAAAGGCTAAAAGAACAGTTTGTTGGAGAAGAAGAATCGACCGACGTGTTAAAAAAGGCAAAAAAAAAAGATTAAAAAGAAGTAAATACGACCACAGTGGGAGTCGAACCCACGACCTTCTGATCCGAAGTCAGACGCGCTAATCCACTGCGCTATGCGGCCAATACGTAGCAATACTCGATATCAATATTTATATACAAAATTTTAATACTATTCTTCTTTTATACCGATAATACCCTCGTGCTGCTTTTTTTTCTTAACTACGATCGGCGAAACAAGAGAAAAGTTTGAAGCTTTTGGACGATGATGGAGCGAACGTACGGCCGACGCAAACAGGGGATGCTGAGAACCCTCTCTGCCTCCTTAAACGACGACGTTTCCCAAACGGAGTATCTCTCTTCGTCTCCGTCTCAGTCTCCGGAAATTGAGCAACTTGATTTCTCGGGTTTCCCTTTCTCCAGTCAAGACTCATCCTCTCTCTGGAATTCTTCTTCGTCAAGATCCACTTTCCTGGATGATGATTTCTCTCAGAATGGCGGCGGTGTAGTGCGAAGGGCTAAGAGACCCAGGAACGGTGGTGGTGCATTCGGTTTGACTTCGACTTTAATGGAGGCACAAGAGTTTGGCGAGTTGATGGAGAACGAAGACGAGATTAATTTCGCGCTTGATGGGTTGAAGAAAGGTCATCAGATAAAGATCAGAAGGGCTGCACTGTCGTCTCTACTCTCGATTTGTGCATCCCAATATCAGCGACGCTCTTTGAGGGCTCAAGGGTATGTCGGATTTTTTTCGAATTCTTTCCTTTCTAGGGTTTGTTCTTCATCAAATTTTCTTAATTGGGTTGTGGGTTTCGTGTTAGAGATTTGTTCGAGCTTTCTGCGTTATGGGTTTTTCCCAATAGTGTAAATTAGGGCACAATTGGGAAAAATTTCCCGTTGCTGGTGAAGACAATTTCTTTTCCTTTTATGTTTATCTCTTTTGCATTCTGCACAAGTCGGAATTGCACTTATGATTCAGATGGATTTGATTGCAATGATCGTCTAGATTTCTGAATCCAGTTGTGTGCATTTCAGCTATGATTCAGATGGATTTGATTGCATTGATCGTCTAGATTTCTGGAGGGTGTTAGGGTATGAATAGGTAGAAAGCTAATGAACATTTCTGGTTTCAGGTGAAATGGAATGGTAAAGCCACCTGATGAAACGTTTGTTGATTTTACCAATATCTGGAACATGTTAGAATTGTGAGAGGACTGGCATTTTTTATTGGCCAATCAATTGGTTTAGGTGTAATAGATGTGAAGTTTGCCCTATTATTGACGAGAACTTTGCCCTATTTTTCAGGATCTCACAATCCATAATCGATGCGATTTTGGGTCTCAGCCTTGATGACATACCAAGCAATCTTGCTGCAGCTACCATTTTCTTTGTGCTAACTGCTGATGTAAGCAACTCGCACATTACCTGGCTTGTGAATTCTTGCTCCATTATGATTATTCATTTGTTTACCAATTTTACTTTTAATGATTCTAGGGTCAAGATGGCCATTTTATGGAGTCACCCAACTGCATCAAGTTTTTGATAAAGCTGTTGAAACCTGTGGTTTCTGCTAGTACTAAAGGGAAGCTGCGCAATATAGGATCTAGGCTGTTATCAATAATCAAGGATGTTGATGCAGCACGTGATGTGGCCAATATGCATGATTCAAGCTCCTGTGATATATTGTCCAAAGCTCAGGAAATTTTTGTTAGTTGCAAGGAGTTGAGATTGATTGATAGCTATAAAATGGAAACGATGAGGCCTGACCTAAGTACCAAATGGGTAGCTTTGTTGGCAATAGAGAAGGCGTGCTTGTCCAAAATCTCTTTTGATGGTACTTCAACTTCTTCTCAGTGTAGTTGGAAACAGTGTCTAGCATACTATTCAAAAAAACTATTGATTGCTGGTGTAAGAGATTTATGTAACAGAAATTGAAAAGTCCTGTTATCTCCTGTGATTTGGTTTGCCTGCTGTGATTCAGTTTAACAAATGTGTCAGCAGTAGATCCTACAGCATGATTATAGTTGTTCTCTTTTGTTTCTTGCTAATTATTTATTTTGTCCTTTGCCCATCCAGATACCTCTGGTGCTGTGAAAAAAACTGGAGGCATGTTCAAGGAGAAACTGCGAGAACTGGGAGGGCTTGATGCGGTCTCTGAGGTTGTTATGGAGTGTCACGCTGTAATGGAGGTGTGAACCTGTATGTTTTGGGTCTTGTTATCCCTGTTTCTATCATTATCATAAGTTCTCTTAATAAGATACAAAATCCCATCTTTGTTTGGCTAGGAAGTTGATAACTTGTATAAAGTGTCGTAGAAAGTTAGCTTTGTAAATGTTTGGATACTTTCAGGATCATATATATTTCAATCCGATTGATTGCTGAAAATTATTCTAAGTGAAGGTGCATTAGTTGTCCTCTGAAAATATATGAACACAGTGATCAGTTGGTGATGTAGTTATTGTGACTCTGCCCTAATGCTTTTGCTGGACAAATAACATTTCTGTCTTAGTGGTGGCAGTCCCTAATTAAGTTGTACTATGGCTGTATAATTCCGTAAGAGTATCTAATTCATATATGTATGCAGCGCTGGGTAGCATACGACACACTCTCTGTCCAGGATATAAAAGATGACCTCTATAAGCAGAGTCTGATGTTGCTTCTGAAATGTCTGAAAATAATGGAGAATGCTACATTCCTCAGCACAGAAAACCAGGTAGCCTTTATGTATTTTGGATTCCTAGGCCTAGCTTGACAATAGCTTGTTATTGGATAGCTCTGCACCTGATAAAATAACTTTTAAGCATATATATATATTTTTTTTTGCAGCATCATTTGCTCCGATTTAGTAGAAGTATGGGTTTTCATGGATCTCAATTGTCTTTCACCGAGCTCATGATAAGTGTCATCAAGATGCTTTCAGGTATACAATGCCTAGTTTTGGACTTTCTCCCATGTTATCATCTCTTTATCTGATGGCTGGTTGGACTGATTTTATCAGATCTTCAGTTACGCGCTCGCAGGGACGAAAAAAATCCTCACCCTCATTGTGCCAATGGTGTTAATCATCAGTCTATTTTGGGAGCGGATTGTAAAGGTATCTCTGCAGACATTCTCTATCCCTCTATTGTTTTGTATGTTACTCTCTGTTCAGCCACATCTACCTTCTGCAGTGAACAAGGACGTTGTGACAATTAGTTCAGATACTCGCTCTACCACTAGCTTTACCTCCATGAGAAGTGAGAGCGTATCTGGGAGAAATCGATCTGTATTTCGGTTACATTGCTCAGGGACATCAGTGCCGGGGTCTCAATCAACTGTAATGTCCATAGATGGTCGCTGCACGCTAACAACAAGACTTGGTTCCAACACTAGGTCGTTTGCAGGTGGATTAGCCTCATTGGGTAGTGGTATTTCCAGATGCAATGCAAGGACTAGTCAAGTTGGAGAACCCAGTAGTAAAAAAGTTGAAAATTTTGCATCCTTCGAGGATAATCAAGATCCTTTTGCATTTGATTTGGAAGATTCAGAACCTCCCAAATGGGCAGTAGCATCAGGAAAGCATAAGAAATCTAAAGCTCAAAAGCGGAAGGGAAGCTACAGAGATATTAAAGATGAACATTCACATCAGCTCTTCTCAAGTCAGGAGGAATTAAACCATAGGTTATATTCCCAGGAAGAGTCTAGTGATAGAGATCGCCATCTAACTGACCAACCATCTTCAACATATGACATTGATAAAGAATGTCACTGTCTTTTATCTGATTGCCTTTTAACAGCTGTGAAGGTAATGTACAGTTTCTTAACAAGTATTTGCTGTTATGTGGGGTTATCATGTGTTCCGTGGTTAATGTCTGATGCTGTGAACATATTCTCAGGTTTTAATGAACTTAACAAATGATAATTCTGTTGGCTGTCGGCAAGTTGCTGCCTGTGGAGGACTGGAGAGCATGGCTGAATTAATTGCTGGGCACTTTCCTTCGTTCACCAGATCTCCCCTTTTCAGTCAGATGGAAATGCCCGGGACATGCCATAAGAAAGATAAACATCTCACGGACCAGGAATTAGATTTTCTTGTTGCCATCTTGGGGTTACTAGTAAACTTGGTGGAGAAAAACGGAATAAACAGGTATCAAATTCTCTGCTCTTTTCGACTATGTTGTGAACATAGAGTGTGCAGTCAGTAATGCATCGAGATCAAAAATACTTAGAAGGGGAAAACATAGCAACTGGTTGTCTTATACCCAGTATCTTGAAAAATGTTCTCAAATCAGTTATTTCTTTGTTGTAGGTCAAGACTTGCAGCAGCTAGTGTACCGATCACCAATCCAGAAGAGTTGCAAGAGAGTGAACAAGATATGATTCCTCTTTTATGTTCAATCTTTCTCACCAATCAGGGATCCACAGACGCCAAAGATGAAACAAGTACTTTCACTCTGGTTAGTATCTAATCCCTGTATTCTTATCGATTCTGAAAGGGCCTTAAGTCATAAACTTGG